TTCGTCTCATTATTTCACCGATCACAAAGTTAAAAAGGAATGGAGAAAGTGGGCATCCCTGACGGACACCGCTTTGTGTGCGGAAGCTTTTAGAGAGCTCTCCGTACACTCTCACACGTCCGGAAGTCTGAGAATACAAAGAACGTATTATGTTTAAAAGCTTCCGAGGCATTCCTTAGTGGGCGGGCGTCTCAAGAAGAACAGACCGACCAACCGAGTCGAATGCGCCTCGGAAATCCAGGAATACCAGAAGTGTGGGTCGCTTATACGTATGGCGTTGTTCTAGCACCTGACGCAGTGATGATTTGATCATGACCATCTCAATCTTCACATCGGTTCCAACGATGCACAAACAGAGACATACCACACGACAATATCGCCACCCGAAGAAAACCCTACGTCCTCCCACTGCCTCGTGGATCAAACTTTTGAGTCGAAGGCCCAAGGTGGGGTACCTCAACCAAACGCTTTTCCTCGGCCTGGGCAACCGGGAAGTATCATTTGCCTGCGCAGACCAGCGTCTACTGATGTCCCTCCCTAACCCCTTCCCACCGCACAAGCAAACGTCGCTGGGCCATTTGACTGTCAGTCATCTGACCGAAGGGCCTTAGGCTCCTCGCTGCCTACAAACATTAAACAAAATAAAACCTTTCTAAATCCACAAGATCCTTTCTATATAGGAGCTTTTAACGTTCGTGCTCCATGTCAATTTGGCAAACAGACAATGTTTGCTGAAACCCTATACTCCATTAAAATTGATGTATACTGTATCTCAGAAACACGCACAGAAGACCCGAGCGTAGGTATGAATTTCAGAACACCAAGAATGAACTCAGCTCTTTCACATTTATTCCTCCATGTGTCCAGTGACCGAGAAGCGATGATTCGTGGAATATTATTGCATGGGATTAGCACTTAACCTGAACGCATTTTGCTGGATTGGATCTCAGTGAACAACCGTCGTCGGTTAACCAGTCCAATTAAACTCAATGTCTCTCAGGATAAAAAGCGGTGCCTGCTCGTAGTGTTGGCTTATGCCCCAACAAACTGCAGTTCTGCTGCTGGGAAGGATACTTTCTATCCGGAGCTATGCGGGCTCATTCGTCAGGCAGAAATCACTGAAATTGTGATCCTTGCGGGCGATTTGAACCCTCAAATAGGTCACCTGAGCTCCTTGGAATCACATTTGGGCGGTCGATTCGGAGAGGATACTCGCCGCACAGACAACAGAGATCGACTTCTTCAGCTGTGTGCTGATCATGAACTATTCCTGGCAAGTACGAACTTTCAACATAAATGTTCACATCGCGTAACCTGGCGGCCACTAACTGCAAATCAACCGTGGACCCAAACCGTTCAGCTGCAGAACCCTTTCGGTGCCTAGCTGCCATGCCACCCGAAGGAAGCACGAGGGCTGGCATACTGCCAGGTTGCCCAAGCCTAGACAGGGGAAGTCGACAGGCAGAGGTCGGGTTCGAACCACGGAACTTCAGGTCAATAAATTGGAGCTCTAACCACTTGGGCCATCTCGCCCCGTGGACCCAGTTGGACCACGTGACCATTAGCCACCGGTGGAGAGCCACAATTCAAGACTGTCGTTCTTTCTGGGGCACACCACTTGATTTCGATCACGCCATGGTGCGTGCACGCCTGACAGTTCGCTTCAATTCGGGCCCTCGCAAGTCGGCAAGAAGCATGCAAAACCACTATCTTCGAAGAACGACCATAGCTCAACAGTACCCAGCTGAGCTAGCCCAAAAACCCTCCACAGTAAGTAAATACTGTGGCAGTGAGCATGTGGATGAAGCGTGGCAAAATGTGAAGGGAGCTATGTTGGCGGCGTTCGGTACTGTATGTCCGACCTCTCCGACTCTACCACAGGACCGCTGGATGTCGACGAGAGCACTATCCATGTTTGACGTCAATAGAGCTCTGCCAGCAGGCAACGGATAAGTGAATAGATGGCTTATTAATTCATTCGCAAAAACGTCGACTAGAAATATGGGTCGAACACTTCGAAGAACAGTTTAGCGGGTCTGCTGCAACATAGCCTCTGGAGACAATGCATACGGTCGAATGGAATGTAAATCTTAATGGCCCATCAGGAGAAGAAATAAAGTACGAAATACCCGTACTGAAACGGGACAAGGCACCAGGACCGGACGGTCTGTATCCAGCCGCTTTCAAAAAGGGGGGGAATCCCTGGTGACCGGTCTGGCGAAGCCTATTGGTGCTGCATGGAACGAAGAGTCGTCTGCAGAATGGGGCATATCGACAGTTATCTCCATCTTCAAAAAGAGTACGCGCACGCTGTGTGGAAACCACTGTGGTATCAGCCTGTTAGCTGTGGCATCTGGCTATGACCTTATCCTTCGAAGGTTGACTGAATACTGGGATAGATCCGCTAACAAAGCTGGGTTCCCACCTGTAAGAGGACGCATCAATCATATTTTCACCCTCCGGCGGACTTTGAAACAGCGACATTGCTCCCAGCAATTAAATAGTGTTTTTGGTCGATCTGAAAGCTGCTCTTGATTCTGTAGACCCTCAAGCACTATGGCAGTATCTGTGGAGCAAATAGACCCTCACTATGGCAGTATCTGTGGAGCAAAGGTGTCCCTCAAATTCTTGACCCTCCTTTAAGTCCTGTACACCAACTCCCGCGACCGACCATAGGTCAACAGGAAGCTCTCCACATCAAAAGGGGTCGAACATGGCTGTTCTCTTTCAATTTTCCTCATCAACTTCATCACCGATACGATCATGGAAGACTCACTATCAGCATCCAATGCCTGTGGGGTCGAAGTGCTCCCTAGACGTCCGCTCACAGATGTCGAGTACGCGGACGACATAGCTCTTCTGGGATGACTCCATGGTAATGCAAACAACATTAAACAATCTGAATAATTCTACCTCACACTTTCGCATGCGCTTCACACCTGCAAAGTGTAAAGTGCAACTACAAAACTGCGTGGGCTCGAACCCGACAGCATGTTTGCCGATGAAACTATTAAGGTAGTAGACAAATTGGTTTACCTGGGCAGTTGTATCCATCCCGGTGGTCTCACGAAAGATATTTCCATCCGGACTGGGAAGGTCAGAGCAGCTTTTTTGAACCTGCGCCACCTGTAGCGTAGGCATGATATCAGCTTATCCGTCAAGGATCGAGTTTACAATGCAGCGGTGCGATCCATACTACTACACGGGTCAGCTGACCGCTGTGTGCCGAAGACAAGACTTTCAGTGTTTGACCATCGAGATATCTTCGGAGCATTGCCCGAACCCGGTGGGAACACCGGATTAGCAATGAAGTATTTGGGTAAAATGGTATTTGGGATAAATAACTCACCCTCAATAGATGAACTGATTACACCGCATCGGTTGCGCTGGCTTAGCCATGTGCTGCGTATGCAAGTCAAGCGACTTCCTCAAAGGGCTCTTTTGGCACCATTTGAATGGTGGAAGAGCCAGGGGGTCAAACAACGACTTTGCATCAAAGAAAGCCAGCACAGGCAAACTCAGCTGCGCTGGTCATTGTCGTCTTCCTGGATGAAAACCCCGAGAGGGGACACATCAATGGTTAGAAACATTGTCAGACATGGCCCAGTCGCATTCTCAATGGCGCTCTTGCATCCAAGCTATTACATATTACATAGCCTCCCCGCTACCTCCCAAATGAAAACCACTGGCAACCCTGTATGTACGACCAATTACATAAGCTAATACCTCCAATTCACAGCTATCTATCGATCCCACTTCCCGAACGAAACTGTGGCATCTACAACTTTTGTACAAGTACGCGGTTCTTACAGCTAACGATGAGGTTGCTCCGCTCAGCGAACAAACTAATGACTAATCTCGTCAATGCTGTCAGCTTCAATAAGAGGTCTGATAGATCTGGGGATGTAGGCACTTCGCGTGCTGGTGGAAGACTAACCCTAAGTTCCCCTTCATGCTCATTTTTTTCTGCTTTGAATTTTTGGACTATATTGAAATAAACTGGTATGGTTGCAAGGCAGTAAGACAAACCCAACCGTCTAATCCACGGTCAAAGCGAGAACCACTGCTCGAGCAGCCCAAAATAATAAGTCGATAAACCGATGAACAAGCCCCATACTAGTAAACGTTTATTTCTACTCACCTTCAGGTTACACGGGGACCATGTCTCACTTTCCAAATCCACCCATACCACCAACCCCTTATACTAGCTGGCGCTAACAGCATCCGTGGACACCACAGAGGAATCGTCTGCCAACAACAATCACGACCACGACCTACTGCCCAACCGCATGCCGTCCCAAGGACTTCCATCGCCAAGAATTCGTATCCACCCAGGCAATTTTTGGAACGCATGTCGACCACCACCTCCATTTCTTGCTCCTCAGGCTGCTAGTGAATTTAGCATCAAACCTTACCGATGCTACGCCGTGAGACAAGTGGCTAAAATCGAACGTACTCAAGACCCTGATAAGCATATCCTTGGGAGGCAATGTAAGGAAAATAGCCTAAGTGAAAAGAATTGAACGGAACGTGCGGAACATGCAGTGATCAACTAATAATAATGAATAACTCCGTTACTGACCTCTGCAGGATGTAATCCTATTGGTAGCCAATTGGTGTTGCATTGTTTCGCCAACTTCTGGGCCTCAATATACATCTTGTACAGAGGGGACTCTCCTAATTCAAGTTCATCAAGCAGCATCTGAGTAGAGAACTCGGAAACATCGTGTTCATCGTAGGCACAGCGGCATTTGGTGCAAGTCATTCTGAACATGGGTTTAATAGTCAACCCTACAAGTTACCTCCAAGCATGTTTCGCAAATCCAGAACAACTGGGGCCACACTTCAGGCATGCCTTCGCAGTATCTTGATCGTAGGCCATACCGTAAATACGAACTATCGAAACCTGCAATAAACAAAGGAACTGAAACACGGAAACAAGACGACAAACAATTGAATAGTTTGCGCTTAACCTGTGATTTCCATAAGAGATGCACTTAAACAAAAATAAATTCGTCAGAGGATTTAGGCATAAACTTCCTAAGATAACAAAACCTTCAATGGATAGAGCTTTAAAAGCATTTTTCTAACAGGAGACCTCTAAAGTTCATTAAAAAGGCTGTGGAAAACCGAACAGAAAAAGAAATTAAAACTCTACCGTTAAGTCGAGGT